TTTTTCTCTTTTTTCCCTTTTTTCAAATTTGGAGAATTAAGGGACGAAAGATAAAGAATAAAAGTTAATTCAACGTCTGCGACAATTTGGTTCAAATTCGAATTAAATGAATAGTAATAATACACTTATGCTAATAGAGACATGTGGATAGAATGTGGCTCTAGAGCAAGAATACAAGATCTTTAAGGGAAATATTGTTCTTCGGGTTGAAATAGAGTTTCAAAATCCTTGTCTTACTTATTCTTAATATTTACTATGGCTTTGCTTTGATTTATTAGAACTTTATAGATTTTTATCTTTTCAAGTTTGATTTAAAATTAGTAACTTCTATGTTTTCCTTCCTTTCTTTTTCTTCATTTTGAATCAAATACAGAAGAGTTGAGTAAATAAAAAATACAAAGGAGATTCATGGAAAAAAAAAGATGCGCGAGGAACGGAGATTTTGGAATGTAATGTTTGTATCCGAAACGATGTTAAGAAGGTATCAACAGGCATTTCCAGATATATTACTCAAAAGAACCGACACAATATGCCTAATCAATTAGAATTGAGAAAATTCTCTCCCTATTGTTACAAACATACGATTCATAGGGAAATAAAGAAATAGATTGAATCTTAGTTTTGAAATCTTAGTCTTGAAACGGTAAAAATGACATTATATAGAAAAACATAGAGCTCAAAATAGAACATAGTTTAAGTATTTTACTGCAAAATACAAACGAAATAAGGAACTATCCTTTGATAGGTGTTCAAAATAGAGTTAATAAAAAAGAAATAAAAAACTGAATAAAGAAATAGAAATAGTGGGTTCCATAGTTTCTATGGTTACTTCTTAAACAGTGAGGTCTTCTCTATACATCAGAGTCTTTACTTCATTTAATCAATTAATCAATGTTATTTGGAACTTGTATAGTTCATACCACACTATTCGGCTCTACCCACGAATTATCCAGTAACAGGTTTTTCATAATCAGACTCACCTATACAATAACGCTATTTAATTAGGAAATTTAGCTGGCGTAGCTGACCCTCGCAGTCCGTTCTTGACCGAGTGTAAACCTCAGTTTTATGTTTTTTTTTTTTTTTTTTTTTTTGAATTTCAATAAGATTTCCTCCGCTTAATGGATAAGTGTTTGCTATCAATGGATATTTTCTTCTTATCTGAAATTCCGGTGATTGGATTTGCACCAATGGAAACCATAAACTTTAGACACAATAAAGGAATCGATTTTCTTATTTTTACATAGTGAATAGAGTTCTTTCCTCTATTCTATTCTATTTACTGGTATTTATCATTCATACCGACATCCAAAAATTGGTTTTCTTTCTTTTTTTCGGTAAGTTCATAATTGAAACGAGTCACACATACACCCTAGTACATGTTCCTCGACGCTGAGGACAGCCCTGAAGAGCAAGGGATTTGGTGACATTTCATATCGGCTTTCTTGTATTTCTAATAAGTTGTTTAATAGTAGGCATGTTGAGTCATATAATAATGGGCAGGTTTAGATTAATCCTAACTGGGTGATTCTAAATTATTTGTAATTAAAAAATATTAATAAAATAGTAAACTCGGAGATAAAATACCAAATCCCGGATTTTCGCAAAATCCCTTTTTTTGTCATTGAACTGCTACAAAATCAATAATTCCATAAGCTTAGACTTCTGTTGCTGACATAAAAGCGTCTCTTTCCATGTCTTCATATACAACCCATAACGGTTTGCCCGTCCTTTCTACACAAACCCTTGTGATGGTTTCGTGTAGTTTCAGCAGTTCTTCTGCTTCCAAGATAAATTCTACCGTTTGCGCCTCAAAAATAACTAGTTGGTTGATGGACCATTACCCTGATTATAGAAGGGTTCTCTATCTGGTGTGATGAAATGAAGAGGAAAGACGGATAAAGAATAATAGGAAAGAAGATCAAATTGAGCAACCATACGGGCATCATCTTTTCTGCATTGCATATGGCTCTACAATCAAATTAGCCGTTACTTTCGATTCAAATTCAAGAAATAGAAAGAAAAAAAATCTGTCAGCCCCAAGCCCTAGATGGGTAAATGATCAAAATGCCACCCTTCCTTTCGTAGGGGTTATAATATACTATGATGGATCCGTTGCTTTCTATTTCAAAATAGGTTTTGTTTCTCTTTGATTGAGCAATCCCAAAGTTTCTTTTAATCCCAAAGTTTCTAAAGAAAAGAATCTTTCTTGATAAAGTCGGTTGAGTGGGGTAAAAATGCATCCCCTAGGAACCATACATGCACCTTTTGACACATACGGTTCAAAAAAAAAAAGAATCAATGTATAAATTCTACTCCTTTTTCCTCTTTCCTATTCTTTTTAATAGCAGGTTTTTTCGAATTTCTTACAAAAGGGCTTTTTTTCAATAATGACGAGTTTTGACTTAGTTTCTTTCTTAGAGTAGAAAAAAGTTGATAAACTTATTGATTTAACTTCTCATTGATGTATTATGTTATCGGGATTCAATCCATATCACGATGGTGTTCTTTTGTTCCTGAATGGGCCTATTTTATTTTTTTAGGTTTATGCTCTACTCTAGGTAAAGATCCGCCCGATTTCGATTTGGACATATAGGACAAATCCTTTCATCACCATTTCTTTTTGTTATGACTTTAGAAATAAGAAATAGTAATCATTTATGATACAATAATCATAGTATGCTCCTAATTGGGTTTTTTTCTAGACGGAGCCTGACTTCATCTTTTAGTCCAACAATAGCCAACCATAAATCTTTCTAATTGATAATAAAACTATGAATTGCTCCAAACAATGCATCGAATTGCACTTCGCACTCCAATTTTTGGATGATTCAATTTCTTTTTTTTGGCGAAATAGAGGCGGGGAAGATAACGGGGAAATACCATATAACCCAATCTATTTGACAGGTCTCACTATACGTCAACCCAATATGCATCGTCATCTCTAGGAATTCGGAAGGGTACTTTTGAAACACCAATAGGCATGAATTGAAAGAGAAAAGAACTAAATTTCACTTTGATGCAGAAACGTAACAATATGGTTTTATTGTCTCTATTTTTGAATATTGGCTTTATCATATTTTTTTATCCAAAGATTCAAAAATTCAGAAAGAAAAAAGAAAATCAAAAAAGGAAAATTTTTACGAATAGGTTTTCCTAATGAGAAATTAAGGATAGACGCATTTTTTTTTAATGGCTATATAGCAATGATTGCGCCTAAAGTGGGCTGCCTACATACCCAAACGTTATCAAGCTATACATAGTTCTACAAAGCTATACAGTCTCAGTAGCAAACAGACAAGACAAGCCTAGGTAATCTAAGTATGAAAGAGACGAAGGCAATATGTCTAAGGCATATATGCCTAAAGCATCAACACCATACCAAGCACTAAACTATCCAGTCCAAATATCATTGATCTAAGCTAAGTCAAAATCAAGTAAGAGGGTAAAGCCTGCTACCTAAAACGGAAAGTCGGGAGACTGTCAGCGTCCGCTCGAATGAGGCCTCTAATCACGAAGGGAAATCTGTCAAGAGAAGTATCCGCTCAATCGGGAGAGAAACCGATACAATCGCTAAGGCATCTGCGATGCGGTTCCCCTCTCTATATATATGAGATATCCGCCAAGTCGTATCCCTAAGCCGCAACCGAATACACGTAAGGCATCGCTAGAGAGTCCAGTGGCTCGTCTCGGAGGAGATCAGGGAGATGCATGCTGTCGAATCTATCTCAATCCATAATGGCATCAATCCTCTCTATATATATGAGATATCCGCCAAGTCGTATCCCTAAGCCGCAGTCGAATACACGTAAGGCATCGCTAGAGAGTCTAGTGGCTCGTCTCGGAGGAGATCAGGAAGATGCATGCTGTCGAATCTATCTTAATCCATAATGGTATCAATCCTCGATCAATCGCTATCCCTACCCCAGTCTGAATAGCCGTCAGCTCTGCCAAAGTGTACGTCGCCTGCGGAATCGGAGTTTGAAACACAATGAGAAATGCTCATACCAAATCTCGGATAATACCTTCCGCTCCTGCTGCTCTGGGATTGCCAAGCAAAACACCATATGTGTTAAGCTTGAACCTTCCCAGAGACGGTGCCTCCCATCGCACCATAATCGGAGGCCGAGGGATCGGATGGGGGGTATCGAAATCCAAGTCCATCTGCTATAGGAAAATCGTCCACCCAATGTCGACGTAATAGAATCCTAGCACGCCAAAAAGTCGGCAAGTGTGAATGACATCAATCTCCCATTGCGTATTCGTACTTATCGAGTATAGAATAAATCTACTTCCCGTTGTTTCTACGAACAAAATTCTTCCATTATTACGAACACAAGTTAATAAATGTAGTATTAACTTAACCCTTGTTAGGAAATAATCCAGTGAAGAAGTGCAATCTATAGGATAGTCATAGTATTACAGTCTTTGCAATGCAATAAAGTTACACAGTCTATTTTTCTTTGATAAAGGGGTATTTATTTAATCATTATGTCACCAAGAAAAATAATATACATAAAAATAAAGAGACGAGGGATTAGCTTTTTACCAGGATTCGAGTCCTACCAAACTCGAACCAAATTTTCTTTTAAGTTCGAAATCTGTTTCCGGGTTTCTGATACCACTATTGGGAATTTTGGTCGTTCGTGGTCTAACCCGATAAGTCCCTCAATATATAAAATAACTTGGCCCACTCCTTAACCCGGCCCACCGGATCGACTCAATCTAGGGTTTTCTCGGTGAGTGAAAAGCCCTTTCCGATAGCCGATTCCGGTGGGTGCCGAAGCTTGGATTGACGAACCAACCTCCAATCTTGAGGCGTGGTTACCATAGGCCATTGCGCACCATGGGGCTGAGCCGAAATCCAATCGTCCCTTCGCTGGTGGAAGATTGAGGAAGATCGAAGAAGAATCGGAACTCTTCGAAGTTAGGTTCGTCGGAGGAGCTGCCGGTCTCCGGAAGAACTGCTGTCGCTGCCACAGTCCACTGGGAGAAGAAGAGCGCCGTGGTTGACCTGGTCGCTGCCGCAGGCCGCTGCTGTCCAGTTCTGCTAATCGGAACTGCTTGAGAACCACCACCTCTAATCCCTTATTGAAATCGTTGACTGAATCAATCTCGTCGTTGATTACTTCTGAAAATTCATTAGGCAGTCACACGAACAAGGAAGGCAACTTTTAATTCTTCTGCAATTGAGTCTGCTTGCTTCAATTTCTTTTAGTTTAGGTTTTGGTATTAATAGTATTAGTTTTGGATTTATTCAATTTAATTGCTGCCACTATTAATTGAATTGTATTTTGTATACTAGGTATTATCGACAAATCCAAAAGATTCGAGAATAAATTCACAACAAAAACTCATACCAAATCCCAGCAAACAAAGTGGAGACAGCATCAAGCTTCGCTCGGGAGAACGTTCAAGAAATGATAGATCTCATCCTCATCGATAACTCCCACTTGTGTCGAACACACAGCACAGCAAACTCGTTTAAATGTTTCGACAGAAGTAGGGCCTGCTTCAGCCTGAGTATTTCGCTTGTTCCGTTTCCTTTTACTCCCGGGTTGTGTCACTTCAAGTCCTATCCTACAGTTGACAACAAAAATTGCTCGGTACCGGGTGACACATGTTTCATGCCTGCAAGACCAACAACCGGGAACTTCAAAGGTAGTTTTGTATAAGGAAGGATCTCAAAGAGACTATGGTTGAGATGAACGAATCATACAATTGCATCCACAACAAATTACCAACTACTACAGCTTCCTGGGATTAACTCAAAGCACAATGCACATAAAGTAAGGTTTGCAGGGAGAACCGGAAAGTGCAAAATTGTAAGTAAATATATTCAATTAGAAGCAAAACCTGATAATGATATAGATCCAATTCTATATGGCCAAACATATAACAATGCACTATGCTGTATTTACACCACAATTAAACAATCTTACATGTAATAACAAACATAGAACTTCTGTCACCGACGCTAAATGGTGCTAAAACTGCTGTTGCATTGCGTAAATGCAGCATTGACAACTATGGTCAACTTATCTCAAGCCATTGGAAACAAAGAATACAAAGATACAACGCAGAGAAAAAACAAAACCTATAGGTCTAGAAGTACAACAAAAAGATACAATAAGCTAACAAATTAAATGATATGTTAAACGCTAAAATTCTATTACTCAAACACAAATATGCATGCATAAGATAGGGTAGCTATGTTGTTTCTTACAGCAACAGTAGCTGATATCAGGTTGCCGAGCACAGTGAGCGTAAGTTACAGTGAGAAAAGTTTCAATCTTCCTCTCTCCCCTTTCCATTTTAGTTGGTTATCATATATTTCATATTTGATCCTTCATCCTCCAACTATCCGAAATCCTAACAAAAGCCAGATATATCAATCTAGCGCAATTATTCACTATTCATACTTTGATAGATCGGATCCACTTCTGGGAATGACAAAGTGATTAGTTTGTACACATAACTGACTCGCTACGCGGACAGTGCCGTCTAAAATGAAATTGAATAATAAGAACCCATAAAGAACACGGGGACCCGATTTAGGGGTTTCGTAGTACAGGATTTGGATGCTTGGAATCTAAATATCAGGTGTATCTAAATAAATTGGTTTCCATACCAATGACAGATGACAACTAGAGCTCAAAGGCAACTTATCCCAAACATAAAGACAACTTATCCCAAACATCAGACAACCCAAAATTTCAAATCATGCTTTAAGCCTTTTAATGCAAGACTGACTCACTTAACTTCCAAGCTAATCTTAATCACCAGATACTGAACTGATGTATGACAGAGAGAAGCATAGGCCATAAATTTTTAAAATTTGAAATTCCATCAAGAAACAATAAATAAGGATGAAGATCTAATATGCTTCAAATACTCTCTAAGTTAATATTTCTACATCATAGTCATTTTAGGTGTTGATTGTATGCAGAACTATTTTCCTAACCAGAAAATCATGAGTTTTCATCAATGCACAACAATTTCCTTTCAGTAGAAAAGTATACCAAAAGCTTCGATCAATCTTCCACATGCATAGGTTCCCCCTGGTCTGCTCATTATTTCACTACGCCACCATCAAACTACAGACTGCGATCACAATTCATATTCAAAAAACTTATAATAAAATAAAAACTAAAAAATTGTAGAACCAGTCCAGTACCAAAGTGAATCCACTGAATTCACAAACATCCTAATTCGGTATTCTGAAATTAGAACTATAAAAAAAAAAATTGCTAACTCGGTGCTCGCCCGTATCCAATCCATTCAATCAATACAATACAACCAGGCATACACAAAAGGGCAAGCGCGAAAAATGGTTACCTCTGGCAATCGAAACAAAGGGTAGTGAAGCAAGCAGGGCAGCTAAGTACAGCATCAGAAATACGGCCGCTCCTTTGCTTTTGGGCCCATACCTCATCTTTGTCATCTAGTTTCGGGTCATAAAACTCCGGCTTCGAAGAGTAGTCAATCTCATCGTCATCAGAAACTATTACAGACAAACAAATTTCAGTAATTCATGCCGACTTGAATCGATCTAACGAAACACATGTGTTTGCGGCAATTAGAAAAATCGGTTCTCACCTATTTGCTCCGACTGCGAGGTGCGAGTTTGAGAATCTTCTTCGGCTTCACTTCTTCCGTTCATTATTTGGAAAAATCCTAACCGGTGAAGAACAACTCTGTGGGCAATAAAGATATACGTATGTATGGTGTAGGGTTGGGCTTCTCACCGCTGTGAGTCATGGTTCAAACCCAGACGGCCACGGTCACCGTTCCATTATTTAATTAGTGTGATTTTTTCGTCTGATCAGATTGGTAGAGTATAAAATCGTACGAATCATAAAAATATTATATATATATATATAATATTATTAAAAATATTTTTATATTTATATATATTTTTTTTTTATGTAAATATTCTTAATATTATAAGACATTAGGAATATTATTTTGAATATAGTACATATATATATAGTACATATAGTTTGAAAACTATATATAATTATATTAAAGAATATGATTTAGGATCAACTTGTCAAATTAATTCAGCATATATTAAATTAATATTAATCATAGAATTAAAAAAAATAATTTAGCCAATTCAAATATTTATATTTATTCATAACTGTTAAATTAATTCAATCATGGTATCCAATGTCATGTGAAATAATATTCATTCAGTTTGTTTTTCAAATATTATTTTTCAATTACGTTTCTCAAAAAATAATACAAAAAATAATTTACAAAATTGAAAAAATAAAAAAAAAACTTAAAATATTTATTATAAAAAATAAAAAAAATTAAATATTTAATTTAAAATAATATATTTTATACTTTTTGACATAATTTTCATACAAAATACAAATAAATCAATTCATTCAAAAATGTTATGTGAACGAAGCCATTATATCTATCAAAAACTATGGTTAGAATACTGATTTGAGATTTCGAGTTAGCAAACTAATTTAGTAGATCATCACATGACATATAGCATATTATCAAAATTGGCATATTAATTTTGAAACAGTTATCAAATTATTACAAGACAGATAACATATATTGTGTTTATAGAAATATATGTTATGTGGATTATATTTCATGCTGAAACCAACATATATTGTATTACGTTCAATTATATAATATGCTATGCTATATTGTTTAATATTTACTGTTTCAGTTATATATTGTATTGTGTTATATAATTTATTCATTGTACCATCATGCTGAAATCTTAATATAGTGTACTGAAATCATAATTATATTTTGTTACGTCATTATATAATTTGCTATTAATATATTTTTTATATATTATATTAATATATGTTATTTTATTTCTAAGTATTTGCCGATTGGACCAAAATATATTGTGCTAAAATTAAAATTATAGTCACGGGCGGCTAATAGCAGGAGCATGGTGAGCAACTGCTCAGGCCCCTAATTAATAGAGGGTTTATATTTTAAAATATTATCCGTTATTATTATTAAATTTTAAAATTAAATTTTAACTTTTAGTTTATATTTTCTTCTTCTTCGTAATTCTCTTTCTTTCTAACCACACCTCACTCTATCTTTTCAACTTTAATCGTGGTCTACACTTATTTACCTTACACCCTATTGTATTGCCCCAGCAACTTGACCAAGTTCGCCTCACCTTCTCTCTTATTTCTTTCACTTTTCTTTAGTTCTTTTCGCTTTTCGAACTTCCGGACATACCGTCTTTCATCTTTTTTTTCTCAAATTGACATTGTCCAGATGGTCACATTCAAGCTCTTGTCCAATCGACGGCCAATCAATAATATTGTTTCGAAAATACATTTTAACCATGTATTTGTAGGGCCTATAATTTATTTTTCGTTCAGAGCCTAAAAAAATCCAAAACGACTCTGATTATAGTATATTATATGTAATTATATAATTTATATTAAATATTTATTATATATTATATTAATATATATTATTTTCTTTATAAATATTTGTTAATTGGATCAGCGATTACGAAAGCTGTCTAACAAAATATATCTGCTTTCCTTATTTTTTTATTGTCCTATTCAAATATATTACCTTAAAGGCAAAATTTTATAAACTAAATAACAATTAAATTTTACGGTGAATTAGGGTTAAATCCCTCCCCATCATATTGATTTGGGATTCAGTCCCTAATCAATATACATTTGTCTGCACTCCCCCATTTTTCCTTCTTCGTTCTTTTTCCTCCCTACTTGTTTTTTTCTTTATTTTGTTTCTCTTCGCGCAATAAATTCTTCTCAATCTGTTGTCCTCTTCCATGAGCTCGAAAGTCACATCCCGCGCAGGTAAGGTTCTTAATTGTTCGCCCGATTTTACATCACCGCTTCTTGTCTGGTTCGATTGGAAAATTCCCTAGGGCACTCTCTGACTCCTGTTCCGGTTCCATGTCGTCGTCGGTTGATTCGGTCGAAGAACTTCCGAAGGCTATCACCGGTTTCCTGGCCCGTCTTTCTTGTTCTCCGGTGAAATTAGATGTACCAGGTGTGCTTTTGTATCGATATCTTAGTTGGGAAATTATTATTTGGAAGAAAATGTTTGGGTATTATTTTGGGTGATTTTGATAATAAATTCTGTTGCTATTTAGGGTTTAGGGGTAATATTTATTTTGTGAAATGGGTAGTTTGTTGCTATTGAGGATCAAGACATTACTAGAATTCCGTAAGAACATATGATTTTAGTGTATTCTGTGTAAGATTGTCTAATCGCCCATACGACCTAATATAGTTCATACATCCATTGGTTGGATCGTTAGGTTCCGATGGACATGGAGCAAAGTAGTCTGAAATTATTAATTATATGTTCCTACAAAGGTGAGCATCATATAATTGGTTTAGAAGATGGCACCACGCTGGAGGATCTTTACCGGAATCTACGAAAAGATGAAATAAAGTGAGTATTGAGGCGGTAAAACTCCAATATATTGCACCTATTCAGAAAAGCTACGTGACGTTATTGTGTGACGATGATGTCGCCAATATGTGGAGAATGCATATCTTGTTAAAGGTAATGTTTGTGGATATGATTACACGGTGTAGAAGCGAGCACCAGAGCGTGCCTCTCCGAAGCACGGTTGGACGCAGGTACGTTACTCGTCATTTGTAATTAAATAGTCTTTATTCAACTTTGTTATAAAATGCAGTCACAATTGTGCCTTATGAAAGAATGCAGTATGTAAGCACTTATAATGTCATGTTCAACACATCTAAAAACATGTTGTTTATAGGTTACGTTAGTAATAATTCTTTCATGATATTGGCATACAACAATACCGTGGTATATGGTTGCGATGTTGTTTGTAGGTAGTAAGTATCCACATCCGAGATTTTGTAGTAGCGCAGTGCAGAACGAACTACTGAAGAGATTGTAAAGATATGTAGTGGGGATATAACGTCTTGAAGGTATTTAACGATTTTCACTTCTTCTTTACACGCCACTGTCAATATCCTCTAGCAATCCGGTTTAGGTAGGTGTACCGTGATCGATGCGTTGAAATTTCCGTAGCCCGTGGCATTTACTGCATCACGTAGCCTGCTGCGGTGAATAGATGCAGGTGTTCTTTTAAATATCCTGGATGACACAGTAGGTAATCGTAGACACCGTGGACATACTCGGTTGAGTAAGATGGGTACCCATGTTTTTCTATTTACGAAGAAAAGATCTATTACCATATAGAATTAGAACTACTTACATCTGACTGATTTTCATTCTTATTATTGTATTTTTAATGCAGGGGTGAGGCCGAATGTTCGGGATTAAACGAAGATGGCGCATGTGGTATCTTTATTCCCGATGAAAGTACTAGTCTAATTGCAATGCAGAGATGCATTTTCGGGGAAGGTCAGACATTCAAGGGACGCAAGAGTTTAGAAAGTTATTGAAGAATTATTCTATTGCCACTAAGAAACACTTCAAGTACCAAAAGAATGATTCGAGCAAAATTATTGCGGTGTGCATCGACAAAGGCTGTGGTTGGCGTATTTATGCATCCTTCCATGCTCGTGATGCGTCATTCAGCATTCGTAAGTGCAATTTACATCACACATGTACTCTGAGTCTATTGCAATCAAGAGATCACCCGGCAGCCGATGCGAACTGAATTTCTGAAGTCTACAAAGATAAGATACGCTCTATGCCAGCGTATAAGGCATCCGACATCTAGGAGCATATCCAAACAGATTATGGGATTGACGTGAAATATCATAAAGCATGGCGTGGCAAGGAGAATGCGATAAGGGCAATTGATGGTGGAGGTAGAGACAGTTTCTCACAACTTCCATAGTATTGTCATGCACTTCGGGAGTCAAATCCGGGAAGTATTATAGACTGCGAAGTTGAGCAGGCAACCAAACGTTTCCAGCACCTTTTCGTTTGTTTAGGTGCATGCCGGCTGGGTTTTTTGAGGGGTTGGAGGCCCCTACTATTTCTTGATGGGACGCATATAAAAAACAAACACAAATGGTGTCTGCTAAGTGCAATCGCAGTGGATGGGGATGATGGGATATTTACTTTAGCATTTTCTGGTACGTAATTTGATATTAGCTACGGTTGTCATTTTGTTAGAATGTTGGGCATAGCTGTTCGTATGTGTTGTTTTCCATGCGATCTTTTGTTTGTTAAATATTTACCTGCAATATTGTTTCGAATACCCTTACAACATTCCGATATGCTCTCTTAGGCACGTAATGTACCCTTATACGCTGGAAACATTTGTAGTTATTTGTGTTCTTATTTGTTGACTTGCAGCGGTATCTACGGAAAATAATGAAAATTGGGAGTGGTTTTGATGGAAGCTGCGAACTGTTTTAGAATGTGAGGGACGTACGGATTGGAAACAGTACACATTCTTCTCGGATTGACCCTCGGGTTTACTAAAGTCAATCCCGTGCGTCTTTCCCAGAGCACATCATGCGTACTGTCTCCGACACTTAGTGGACAACTTTCGTACCCAGGTATATGTACGTCAATATTAATTTATAATGAACATCTCTGGTGATGATCAACCAAAAAAGGTCTTTTTTTAGGTTATGCGGAGATACCCAATGCATAATAAGAAACGATGGACCGTTGTCTTCAACAAAGCCGCCTATGCTCCATTGAGGAGAGATTTCAAAAATCACATTAGTTCTGTGGTCGAATTGATGCCATTGTCCCGGGACTTCATTACCCAATCACACCCAGAATGTTGAGCAAATTCACTATTAAGAGGTACTCGTTGGGGAAAAATAAATAATAACATTGCTGAGTCATGGAAT